TGTGGCTGCCTTTATGCTCCAGATGTGATGTAAACATCTGGTTTTATTTCAGAAAGCGATAACTCTATAACTCAACAAAATTTGCAACGATTTAGTGTAGTAGTAGCTGAGAGTCATCCATAGCCCATTTTCTGAGCACTAACAGAATGCTCAAGAGCTTTGATTAAACATTTGCCACTAGCTCTGCTCGTCTGTTAGCAAAATAGTTCATGAATCACTGGACAGACCGCCACAGCCAACTGACCTTGGTAAAAAAAAAATGGCTACAACTCCTTCAGTTCTACAGATATGGAGCTCAAAGTTGGTGTGGTAGTAACTGAGAGTCATTGGCAACACTTTAAACGAGCTGTTGCACATAATTTCTCAACACATGATGATTTTAGTCTAAAAATCTGGCATAGAGGTGGCGGGAGATATGCATTCCTACAAGGAACGCCGGGCATTTGTTGCACTCGAACAGTTTCGAAAAGAAAGTGCTGAAAGTCATATTCCAGTCCAAACAGGATCCAGTCTCATACATCTTTCATCTTGTGTCTCATTCTGTTGGACCCTTTTGGTTATCTTCTCATGGAGCTGTGAGGAACATAAAGTGACCAAAACCTGAATGACTGATTGATTTATACATCTGGTGTCTGAAAAGGACTTGGGTGAAAATAAATAACTAATTCCACATCCTGCTGCAGAAAAGTTCCTGAGCAGATTTAACAGCGTTCTGTTCCGTTTATGCATAATCCATAAATCTAGCTTTAGTTTGTCTGTCTTTAGCATTTTACAGTTAATGTTTCCTGTCTGAAGTGGAAAAACCTGATTTTACAGAAACGTGAATAAAAGTGAAAGCCACGAAGCCTGGACTGGTTTTTACTCTGTGGTTTCAGGTAGATTAGGCAGCATGGTGGCGCAACTGACATGGGCACCGGCGACCCCCGTGACCCAAAATGGAAGAAGCGGGAAGATGATGGATGGATGGATGGATGGATGGATGGATGGATGGTTTCAGGTAGATTCTAATAGAGAGTGAAATGTTTGGTTTGGCCACCAGAGGGAGACATTTACCTCAGTAGCCATCATGGAGCCTTCAGCCATTTGAAGCTGAGGAAGAGCAGCTGTTTTATCTCTTTATTATCTGTCAGAAACCACACAGATAAAATCTAGAACCATCTATCTGCCTTATTGATGAGAGTTCATCAAGCTGAGTTGCAAAAAGTCTCATCAGAAGCCATCTTGCATTGCTTTATTTCAGCTGTTCGTACCTCAAAACGTTCAGTTTATTCTGGAGAAGGGTGCTTTGACTTTTTGTAACTTTTATACTTTAATTATTTAAATTTATTTACAAATATTCTCCCAAACTTTAAAAAATATATATATATTTAAATGTCCTTCAAAACCAATCACTTTTAAATCTGCTTCTGTTTTATTCTTCTTATGCTACTTTTGGGTTTTAGCTGCAGCTCTGCTTCTTTTAGCTTTGACCTAGTTGTTGGAAACAATTAGCTCATAGCTAGCATTTTTCTAATATTAGTTGTAAGCAAGCCTACTGCTACTTTTTGCTTTTATTTAGCATTTACATTTTTTTTTTACTGAGCCCTTGTTTATCTACTTTTAGCTGTGATCTAGACTACAGCTATTGGCTATTGTTTTGCTGCTTTTAACCTGGTCTTTAGCTTTAAGATGGCCTTTTGAATTTGTTTTTAATTAACCCTTTGCTATGTTTAGCTTTTGTCTTTTAGCTAGCCTTTATTCTTAGCTTTAATTCAACCATTTGCTTCTTTTTTTTTAGCTTTTAGCCATTGTTTTTCTACTTTTATTACTGCTACTTTAGCTATTGTTATGCTGCCTTCAGTTTTTAACCAGTCTTTAGCTTTAAGCTGATCTGTTGATTTTTTAAATTAATCCTTTCTACGTTTAGCTTTATTTTAATAATTTGCTGCTGTTAGCAGGTGTTTTATTTGTCATTTAACTTCATCAGCATTCCCACTTTACGGTTTGTTATTTTCATTTATTTCGGCTGTGGACAGGTTGTTCTTGTTCCTGCATGCGGTCCAGTGAGAGCAGCAGCTCATCCTCGTCGCTGCATGTTTGTTGTTTGTGATTCTCGCAGTATTGACAAAGACGGGGTGGAAATCTGAGCCTCACGTTTTCACTGTTCCGAGGCCTCTTTGCAGCAGGCGTCTCTCACGAGGGCCACGGTGCACCGGCGGGCTCGGTTAAGGTTTGGAACGTTGTGTAGCATCGGTCCAACGTGAGAGGGAGTGGAGTCCTGCGGGAGACGAGGGGCTGAGCAGCAGAGGTTTCGTCTCTCTGCGAAGAGATCCATTACACCTCGTCTCCATTTCCTGTCTCAGGGGCAGAAACCACATGGAAGCATTAATAACTTCTCCCGTGTCTGAGGCACCTAATGGTGCTCTGAGTGCTGATTAAGGCTGTGAGACGTGGGTGGAGGACGAGTATTACTTTCATCGTCCCTGTTGTCTGCTGCGAGGACGAGCCGAAGCCTCTGTTAGGAGGTGCTAATTGGCTGAACCCTTCAGTTAGAAGTTATCACAGTTGCCTGCCTCAGGTGGGCGTGGTAGTAGCTGAGACTGATCCCCCACACAATCTGAGATCTCACAGATCCCAGATTAAAAACTCCCGTTAACTATTTAAAGGCAGCTCTGTCAGCAAAATAACTTTAGCGTTTTGCTACTATCTGGATACTTTTATCATTGTAATTGCTACTTTTAGCTAGTACTTTTCTACTTTTAGCTTGTGTTTTGTTACTTTTGGCTTTCAGCTATTAGCTTTTCTCTAGTTTTGCTTCTTTTGGCTAGCGTTCGGCTGCTTTTGACTTAAACAACTAAGATTTGTCTGTCTGTGTTCACTGTACTGTCTGAAAATGTGGTTCCTCCAGTTTGTCTTTTGTTGGGTTGGGTCAACTCAAATATCCTGAACACAAACTACAGCAACCTGTTCGGCTGGTTTATTTTGAGCCAAAGAACACGCAGCAGCCGCTTCAAAAGCTTATTTTAGTCCAAACCTCCTCCTTCATACAGAAATGTGCAAAATCATGCAGAAATTTCAAACATCTCGTAACATTTAGACCAGAAACACACAACTCATGCAGCTCTTAAATAAATGTGCAAAGAAATGCATTTTCCACCAAAAGTCCAGGAGTTCCAGTCCAGAGATGGTCTCACTCTGAAACCAGACAAAGTCTCCAGCTGTGGTCCTGATTCCTGATCCGATACGACAAAGTCCCGGGTTTTGATGGCTCGTTTGAACCTTGTCCTCATGTGGACAGGTCTGAAGGAGTCCAACCTCTCAGCCAGTTTTGACCCGGTCTTTCCTCTCCACGCCGGGGTCGTCACAATATGTCCGACTTGGGCAGGTTGAGCTCTTCCTCAGACACTTTCAGGTTCGCCATGTACCAGAAGATCCACAGAACCAGACTTAAGAAGATGAGCAGTGGCCCGGAGAAGACAAAGAAGTCCCAGTAGGCCAGGACGGTGGGCGTGGAGACCCCGATCAGGAAGAGGATGAGACCCACAGCGTCCAGGAAAATGGCGATGGCCAGGAAGGCGTTGGGGCACTTGTTCGGCTCCATGCTGGACCTGGCGAGGCGGCCCGGTGGACGTCGGTTGATGGTCTGACGGGACTGGGAACGCGTCACCTGGTTTTGAGAATCGCTCTGATTCACGCCTTACATTTCTGACATAGCTGGAGGAGTCGGTGGTTGGACTGGTCTCCAGCTGGAACGTCCTTCTTCGGCTGGATTGACTTGTTTTTCTTGTTTCACGTTAGAAACCAGTTCTCTGGTTCTGAATCAGCTGATCCACACGTTACCATAACTAGCACCAACTACCAGAAGGTGCACGGCAGGGATGCTTTTTACCTCTGTGTGTCTATTAGCAAAATATCCCATCCACTGGATGGAATCTGTTGAAACTATGAGGAGATCATCCTGATTCATGCTCAATAATCCAGAAAAATCCCACAAAGTTAATTCAGGTCCTCTTGATGGTTTCTGTTGAAACGTTTCATACTTCATCCAAAACACTTAATCAGATGAAATGTCTCAACAAACAGAAACCGTCCACAGAGCTGAGATAACTTTGTGGGATATCAGGAGATCATCTTCAGACGTCTACAGCCCAATTCAAAATGGCTGCCACAGCCAAGCCATATGAACAAACAACCGTAAATCTGTAAATCTGACAGATATTGAGTTAAATCTGGTGTGGTAGTAGCTGAGGGTTATCCACATTTCATAAGAGGATCGTGGCAGGTGGTGGATGGTGGCAGGCGGTGGATGGTGGCTGGCCAGGGAATTGTGGCAGGTGGTGGATGGTGGCAGGCCGGGGAATTGTGGCAGGTGGTGGATGGTGGCAGGCCGGGGAATTGTGGCAGGTGGTGGATGGTGGCAGGTGGTGGCAGGAGGTGGATGGCAGTGGATGGTGGCAGGTGGTGGATGGTGGCAGGAGGTGGATGGTGGCA